ATTCATTCATTCATTCATTCATTCATTCATTCATTCATTCATTCATTCATTCATTCATCTATCCATCCATTTCACAGCCATCAGATGGCTTTGGACTCAACCCAAACAGAGCGACTTCTTCCAAGGACTTACGTCTCATAGATGTGTCCGTTCTCAACTCTTTCCTCCACGTAGGCCAGGGCCCGGACGTGCATCGGTGAGTGAGGAAAAGCCGCGTGGATCCAGGGTAATCCGAAGACGGAGAGCCCCGTGTTGATCAGTGCTACCAGGAGCAGGTCCCAGTGATAAGCTGTCCCCTTCACCAACCTGGAATAAAATCTTTGTTAGAATCAAGATTCAGCGTAGGAACCCAGCCGGGACCAGGCCAGAACCATCTGTAACCCAAGAATCAGAACAATTTGGGTCTCCAATAGAAGAGAAGAATTGTGGCTCGGGGTTGAACTTTACTATGGGGTCCTTGGTGCTCTCTCTGACCTTGGCTGGTTTTTTGCAGACATTTTGTGACCCAACTATGTAATGTCGTCAATGCTAGAAGAGGGAGGAGGACGACTGTGGAGTCCTTGGTGCTCTCTGAACTTGGTGGTTTTTATTGCACTTTTCATGACCCAACTAGGTAACATTATCAGTGCTGGAAGGGAGTGGGGTTTGTGGAGAAGAGGAGGAGGTGGAGGAAGACGACTATCGGGTCCTTCGTGTTGGTGGTTTTCTTGCAGACATTTCGTTACCAAACTAGGTAACAGCATCATGCTAGAAAGGATTGAGTTTTACCAGGAGGAGAAGGAGGAGGAGGAGGAGGAGGAGGAGGAGGAGGAGAACGACGATGACTGTGGGGTCCTTGATGCTCTCTGAGTTTGGTGGTTTTCTTGCAGACATTTCATTACCAAACTCGGCAACAGCGCTGATAATGTTATCTAGTTGGGTAATAAAATGTCTGCAAGAATGCAACCAAACTCAGAGAGTACCAAAGACCCCACATTTAATGTCTCATTAGCAAAACCTTGCCTTTAGCAAAGTTTATCTAGCTGTGGAACATCTTCAAATTTAATACTTAAAAATCAATTTCTAGTTGCATAATTTAATGAGCAAGGGAGGCAGAGTACTTTATAAATTCTACGGACCAACTTCCAGAGCTGTTGTAAGAGCCATGGTGGTGCAATGGTTAGAAAGCAGTATTGCAGGCAAACTCTGCCGGCTGCCAGAAGTTCGATCCTAACCGGCTCAAGGTTGACTCAGCCTTCCAGCCTTCTGAGGTGGGTAAAATGAGGACCCAGATTGTTGGGGGCAAGAGGCTGACTCTATAAACTGCTTTAAAGCACTGTGAAGTCTAAGTGCTATTGTTATTCCTATCTGCTTATCTACATAGCTAGCTGGCTACTGTATACAGAATCTTATCCTATCCTATCCCATCTTATCCTGTTCTTATTCTCTTATTCTATTCTTATTCTATATTGTACCTTATCTATCTATCCATCTGAGCCCTGGGTGGCGCAATGGTTAGAAAGCAGTATTGCAGGCTAATTCTGCCGACTGCCGGCAGTTCAATCCTGACTGGCTCAAGGTTGACTCAGCCTTCCGTCCTTCCAAGGTGGGTAAAATGAGGACCCAGATTGTTGGGGGCAAGAGGCTGGCTCTGTAAACTGCTTAGAGAGGGCTATAAAAGCACTATGAAGCAGTATATAAGTGCTGTTGCTATCTTCCTTCCTTCCTTCCTTTCTCCCTTCCTTCCTCCTGGGAGAAGCAGTAAGATAATGAGGAGATCCTGGCACAGCTGATCATCCGAACAGCTGATCGTTCTTCCTTCCTTCCTTCCTTCCTTCCTTCCTTCCTTCCTTCCTTCCTTCCTCCCTCCCTCCCTCCCTCCCTCCTGGGAGAAGCAGTAAGACAGTGAGGAGATCCTGGCACAGCTGATCATCCGAACAGCTGATCGTTCTCTCCTTCCTTCCTTCCTTCCTTCCTTCCTTCCTTCCTTCCTTCCTTCCTTCCTTCCTTCCTTCCCTTTCTCATTCTCCTTCCTGGTGATGCAGTGGTTAAAATGCCGTATTGCAGGCTAAGTCTGCCCACTGCCGGCAGTTCGATCCTGACTGGCTCAAGGTTGACTCAGCCTTCCCTCCTTCCGAGGCGGGTCAAATGAGGACCCAGATTGTTGGGGGGGTCAAGAGGCTGGCTCTGCAAACCGCTTAGAGCGGGCTATAAAAGCGCTACGAAGCGGTATATAAGTCTGCGTGCCATTGCTGTTCAGAAATGCCGCAGAAACCCGTCATCCGAGTTAGCGCTGGCTGCAGGTGAGGCCCATTGCCAACTCTGTGCATCCTCAGAGATCCCTCGTTTCGTTCCAAGACGGGGGCTTCAGCCGGAGAATCCGAACCTGAAACCCAAAAGCCGACGGGCCGCGATGGAGAGACCTACCTGTTCTCTGGGGCGTTGGTGAGCGAGGCCACGATGTTTTGCTCTATGAAGAAGAGCATAGAGAGGAGGAACCCCAGGCCCATGGCGCTCATCACCGAGCCAAGGTGGAGATCCTTCAAGGGAGCCAAGACGAACAAGCTCTCCGACTGGTTGTAGTTAAATTTGGACACTGGCGGGGGGGAAAAACGGGGGAAAGTGAACAGACCCACGATAACGGGGTGGGCGCTACATCAATGGAGGAAAAAGTATATTTGCTCGTCCGTGTATTAACTGCAGCCAGAATTGCATTTGCTCAAAATTCTTACTGATTCCTACTGATAAAAACTGTGATTAGAAAAACTATTAGAGTGTGCAGGAAGGAGTAGAACAACACGTGCAATTAAGGAGAAGGAGCAAACTGAATATTGTAAGAGATGGGAACTATTTTAGCGATGGCTAGAGAAAAAAAGTACGAAAGCTAGAAATAGCTGATAGATCCGCGAAATATAAAAAAAATAGGTTTACAGAATTAAACGTGCTAAGAAGAGGAGTGTTATAGTAACATAGTAATTAATATTGTACATTAATCAGATAAGAATAAGATAGGAATAGAGAATTAATACCTAAGTAATGAACATGGATGTAAATTTTAATTGTTATTGCATAAGATATGTCTACCCGTTCAACGGGTGATGACTTTTATGTACCTTAAATAATTTTTGTTTTACACACGCATACACAAAAAGAAGAGATTGTAGAGCCATTTGCCCAGAATAGTAAGGTTAAGGGTGTCCAGCCTTAGCAACTTTCAAGACTTGTGGAGTTCAACTGCCAGATTTCCCCAGACAGCCATTCCCTCCCTTCTTCCTGGGGGCGGAAGTTTTAATTTAAAAGGACCAGGAGACGATGAGTTCTAGTCCCAGCTTAGGCACAAAAGCTGGCTTTGTGACTTTGGGCCAATCACCAAAGGACGGGAGTTCTAGTTCTATCTTTGACATGAAAGCTGGCTGGGTGACTGTGGGCCAATCACCAGATGATGGTGAGTTCTAGTCCTGCCTTAGGCCTGAAAGCCAACTAGGTGACTT